CCAATATATTGAAATATGGCGGTAAGCGGGCAATTTAAATGTGGCCCCCGCAACGCTTCCACCCGCCGCTGCACGGAATGTGGTTTTAAGTAATTCATGGATTAATGGTAGCATATTGGTCTTGTGGCAAAGTGGAGGAGCAGGAGGAGCAGGAGGTGCAGGAGGAGCTGGAGGAGGAGGAGGTGGTTGCCGCTGTCTCTTGAGTGAATGGTCGTGTCTGAGGCCGAGACTAAAACTGCTGTCTGTCTGTCCGTCTGACTGTCCCACTGTCTGCGGGGCCTTGGCCGTGGTAAGAGTAGGAGTTGCATGTTTAGCACGTGCCTTCGGTTCCTCTTGTTGCACACTCAAATGTTGTTGCTGTTGCTCGTGTGCGGTAGTTGCTGCCGTTATTGTTGCAGTTGCAGTTGCTGTTGCTGTTGCTGTTGCTGTTGCTGTTGCTGTTGCTGTTGCCGTTGCCGTTGCCGTTGCTGATAATGCGTTGACCGCCAACGCCGCAAACTAGATTGTTACGTTTATAATCATTAGGCAAGTTGGTGATTTGTTTTCCTTTTCCTACATTTTTTTGTAGCATTGATTCTTTGGGCTATGAAAGTTGTTGATTGTTACCACAAAAGCACCGTTAATATGAGGTTGCTTTTCTGGTCGAAATGAACTTCAGGCTACTTTTTGGTAGCAACAAAGTAGGGGGTTGCTCTAGTTATACTCATAACTTATAAGCAATGAAAGTTGTTTGTTGTTTCAAAAATGACAAAAAGCTTTGGTATATCTTATCATATCTCAATGACCATTACTTTTCCTGGGAATTGACCTCAACAGAAGTCATTCATAATCTAGGCAACCCCGGTATTTCTTCAATCAGCTTTACAAATTAAAACTCAATCAAATCCCCTTCAGTTACGTCACAACTTGGCCTCTTCAATCGAAATTTTCTTTCACATCTCTGTCATTCGGCTTAGCCGAAAATTAATTTCCATTTTTGTGTTTTTGGCGCATAACGCCTCGTCATACTTCCTGTAGCAAGAAGAAAAACCCAAACTCACCGGCCACATAACACTTTTAGCCGCCGCACTCACACACTCAATGAGAAACCAACAAATTGCATTTTAATGCAACTTTCCAAATCAATTTTCGAAAACCAAACAGAGAGCGGGGCGCATTTCCCTTTAAAGAGTCGAGGCAAAAAGTAGGGGAAATTAGAAAGATATGGCCAGAGGGATGTGGCGGGCACCCGGGTCGGAGTTAGCCACAAGAGTGCCTGGCCAAAAGGCCAATATAAAAATAAATAAAACTTAAGTCAGCCATGTGACAGTTATGGATGAGAAGGCTGCACTCCAACTGGGTACTGGGTACTGGGGACCGGGGACCGGGACCCAACTCCAAAGTCGAGGAGATCCGGACTTGGAGCCCCGGCCTGAGCCAAAGTAACGAGTTGACTGTGCGATAAAAAATCTAACTTTAATACGAATTAAGATAAACAAATAATGAGAAAGGGAAGGGAGCGGTATATGCACGGGCTTTGGATCTAATCGAATGTTTGTGGATGGCAATGGAGACCTCCAGGCCCAAGCTCAAGTGACAAGTGCGAGCCTAGCCGGGGCTTTTGACATTTGCTGAATATGAGACTGCGACGAAGACGATGATGATGATGATGACTACGTGGATTCGCAGTCGTTGTTTATGTTTACTCGAACGATGAAACCTTATGCCTAATAATAGGGTCGACTTTGAAATGCATACGAAACGGGGTACGGGGTACGGATACTACAGTACTGGAGACATATACATAGTTCGCCTCGCTTTTTGTTGGGGGCGTTAGCCATGGTGCAAAATGTAGAGCTGCGGAGTTGATCTCCATGTTGCCGATGCTTGACATTTATGTGAACCCAGGCAACAATAACACGTTGGTGTACCTACGACAGAACGACACGAAACCAACCTAACCTAACCAAAGCAAACCGAACCAAACCAGAGCCGGAGCCGGAGATCCAAGAGATCCCAGCGATCGTCGTGGGCAAGCAGGCAAAGTCAACTCGTTCGAGTAATGAATCTTATGACGCCTACGTGTACTTTTGGCATTTGGCATGTCAAATACAATAAGTACTAGTGCCAGTGCCAGAGATCAGAGCCACAGACCAAGATGGAGCTGGAGACCCGCCAAATGCGGAGCCTGCGATGACTCTTCGGGTTCAAGACTCTCGCGACTGCGTTGGCCGCTGCTGCGTTGACTTCTTTCTGACAGCTTCGGTTTGGGCCCCGAACTCGTTTTGGGCCAAGAAGGGGGAACATTCCTGGTCTGTCATTAACCGACAGAAACTAATTCGCTCCAAATAAGTTCAAGGCGGAATGCTGATAGATTGACAAGGCAAATGGGTTTAGAGATGTTTGCCTGGCCTCTTGCTACAATTTGCGAATTCGTCATCTTGCGATTCTTTTGAATTTAGATGGAGATGTCGGTAATGGCTTGATTGTGAACTTTGATAGGTTTAAGGGGTTAAAGTTGTACACCCAAGCCAGTGTACCGCAATTAAGTATTGTTATCTTTGGAAATGGAAAATACCCATTAGTCAAGTTTATTGATGGGAAGGCAGACTCAAATGTTTGTAGAAAATAGAATCCCATTTTGCACGAACGTTTGACCAAACAATCTTCAAAAAAAATGTAATTACCAAAGAATAGATTGGTTTTTGCTTATCTAGGTACAATACAGTCATATTTAAAGCCGCTGAGATTGAAAAAGTCTGAGACAAAGGTTTTTCAAAATGCTTTGATACACATAAGATCACAACTTGAGTACCCAAAGCTTTTTGTTTACACCAACGGATTCCCATGCCTTGCCATCTCCACCGGTGATCTGACCATCTTCTATCGATCAAATTTCTAACCTCCTCTCCAGTTGCCTCGCATTCCAGAGATCCAACCCACCTGCTACCTGAGTGCACTTAATCAGCGAATAATTCATGACAAACTGGGGACCGGGCGAAGGCGAAAAGGGGAGTGGCCCCCTCCCGTAGCTCGTGTCGCTGATCACGCATAGAAATTATTATTGTGCTTTAATATAGCCATAAATCTGAACATTTAAAATGCAGAAAATATCGCATCCTGCTGCGTTTGCCAAACCAGAATGCCGGGAATCGCAAAGCTGGGGTTGGGTCCAACTTATGACTTCATCTGCATTTTTATGGCGAATGCCCTGGCGATAATAAACCCTGGCAGGGATCGAGCCACCCATGCGTGCTCCTAGAAAAGGGGGCTGGGTGAGGAGGCGGAGGAATCTGAGGCACTGAGGCAATATCAATAACACTTGCAACTCTGTCCGTGGCCGTACGACTGCAACATGATGCGACAACGTTGTTGTCGTCGTCGGACAATGTCACTGAACCAGTTCTCAATGTCTTCATATAGATTTCCACGGCCTGCGAGAGTCAACCTCTGCACTAAATATTTACAACCTCCACAATATCTCAACGACCGACAACGACGACAAAAAAAAAAAACGGCTGAAAAGACTTTAAAAATAAAAAAAAAACAGTAACAGAAACGAGGCTGGTCTTTTCTATCGCCTGGCCTGGCGGAACAAGTTCATGCAACTGCAGCAGCCCCAGCACCACAAAAGGTGTTCAGGCGACCAAGACCGAGCCCAAGACCAAAAGCAAGATCCAACTACCAACTACCAACGATCAGCGACCAACGACCAGCGACCAGCGGCCAGTGTCGTTGTGGCCATAAATTCAATTGAATATTACGCCAATTGCCTTTTTGTCTATCGCGAGCCTCGTCGGGGAGGAGTCAGCATGTCGGCCTGGCCTCCAAACTGGTTCCATCATCATCAGTTTGCCAGATATGTTTTTTAAGCAGATTTGGTTCATCTTTGAATGCACGCTAAGCCGCTTTCGGCGTGCTAATTAGACGACTTCAAGGCCCCATCTGTTGCCCGGGATAATATGCATCAAAATGTGTCAACACCTAGAGCTCCGAGTCCTGCCATCTCGTCCGGCTTAATTGTTAGCTCTCTTCTTGCTATCGAACTGAACTGAACCGAACCGAACCAAGAGCCCAGGCCATGTTTTCACTCCATTAACGCGTTGTGAAGTCGGTGGTGGAGTGGAGCGGGGAGTGGATTGGAGTGCAGATCCTGGACTGGGTCTGGTAATGATGCCTGACGTTGACCGATCGTCGACCGCAAAAGCCAGCCAGCCAGCCAAAGTCAAAGCCAAAAGCCAGGGGAAAAGCCAGATCCAGAGCAAGAGCCGGCCCAGGCTGACCGACCGATCAAAAGTCGTTCAACTTGCCGGAACTGGTCGTAAAGATCACCTGGCAGCCACCATTCCAAGCGAGCGCTGCCTATGTGGAGCATTTTCATCGCTCGGACTTGGCCAACGCAACTCGTACCTGGGATCTGGAGTGCAAGTTAAGGCTGAATCCCGCGCGGCACAATATTAATGGCCGCCAGAGAGTTCAGCCCGGCCACGGTGAGTTCAAGTCCCAAAACATAGTTAATCTTCGCTGTCTGACATTCGTTCGGTTTTCGGCAGGAAGTCCCCAGCCACAGCGGAGAATCAGCAGAAATAAATGATCTTTGGGCTTCCATTGGCCAAATGAACTTTGACTTCTGCGATGGGGTTAAGGAATGCATAAGCTCATTGAACACAAAAGGTCTCCAGGCCTTTGCATTCAATTTTATAATGATTATATATATTTTATAATGATATAATATATAATTCTTCCAGAATCTATCTAAATAATTTAGTTTCATTATAAAATATTTATGTTTCACAATGCAGTGAGAACATCTCTTCAATGCGGGCGTCCCAATTCCAGTCCAACCCAATGCTAAGTTTACTTTCTAAGGTCCGATTTATTTACCCCTGCCAACTGGGCCATAAAACTCAATTAGTTGCAGCGGAAAAGCTCCTTTCTCCATCGAATCTCTTTGCTTAATCAACTACAAATGGGCTAAAAGGGAGAATGTTATGTTAAGTTTGGTTGGTTGGTTGGCCTACCTGAACGTATTCGGCGCATATATCAATTCCGCCCACAAAGCCGCACACATCGTCCACCGACCAGGAGTTAACCTCCTCGCTCTGCGCCTGACACCGTCGTCGGGCCTTGCCAACTCCTGTTCCGGCTCCTGATCCCGATCCCGAACTCTCTCCTCCCGTTCCTGTTCCCCCGCCCGCGTCCAAACCCGTGCCTATGCCCGCGTTGGCGTTACCAGAATTGATATCGTCGTGCTGCTCCAGCGGCAACGGTGGCGGGGATGGTGTGGACGTGGATGTGGATGAGCCCGTGGTCGCTGTTGTTGCCGTCGTTGCGGTGGAGCTGGCACGACGCTCGGCCTTAAAACGCTTGGCGGCCGGCGGCTGGGAGCTCAAATCCAATGGCGCCGCCGACGCAATCGAGGAGCCACCACCGATGGGCGCCACCGTCGAGGAATCGTTGGTGGAACGTGGACTAGACTGCCGCGAAGCGTGATGTTGCTGCCGTTGATGTTGCTGCTGCTGCTGCTGCTGCTGTTGCTGCTGCTGTTGCAGCTGGGCCGAGTAGATCAGAGCGGGTGTAACAAATTGGGCAGCCTGATGCAGTGCGGCATTCAGAGTGGAACTGGAACGTGGCGTGCCCGCCGCACTCGCACTCGGCGACGATGCATTCGAACCGGAGCGCTGCTGCTTGGTGCGCAGAATCTCCTGGATTTCGGCATCTTTGACAGCACGCGCCTGGGGAAATTGTGGGGGAGAAATGGAACAGAGAAAGAGGAGGGGTTAGACTTTATAAAAATAACGAAGAAGAAATATTACTACACAGAGAGAATTATTCAAGAACATTCATTCTTAAAAACCGTCTAAGTACATTTTAGTATCAATGTTCTCAATATTAGAACGAAGTGGTGAGAAGAGAAAAGTTAAATAGAGTTTATTTAACAACTTTTTGATAAGGATGCACTACTGACTGGACTAATAGTTTATTTGTTGAGATATACAATGTAAGTACCGCCAATTCAATTTGATTCGAGAAAAATAACAATATTTTCGAATTTCAAAATGTCGTTTTATTTTTAAGAACATTTTCAACTCAGATGAGAACTTCATAATTTCGTTTGTGTACGATTAACAAAGCTAAGGATTAGGAATTCTGATGGATTTTATTACAACAATAGGTCATTAAATATTAATTTTATTGCAAATGTTATGTAACATCATACAAATAAAATATATGTCTTAAATTAACTACTTCGACAATAAAAGTTCAGGTGTAGGTAGATGCATTTTCCGTTTATCCCAAAAAATCTACCTCTTTCAATTTGTTACAATGTAGGTGCCCAACCATATATCCAATTTGGGGAAGAACCACCATCCATGGGTAATAATTTCGGGTGGTCCCAGCTTTACTATTTTTTAGTACTCACCAGGGTCAGTAGCGCCTGGGTGCTGCTCATGTCTATCAGCGGCGGAAAAATGCCGGACGAGAAGGGCAGAAAGTTGGTCATAAACGGCGAGACACTCGCTGCTGCCACCACGGCGGCCATTTGGCTCTTGGCCTGCTCCGTGGGCGAGGGGGCGGCGGGCGGTGGGCCCAGCTGCGAGAGGGACGAGCCACCGCCAGTGGCCGAGGCACCACCCACACCTGCACCACCGGCCCCACTCACTTTGGTCTCCTTGGGCAGGCTGACGGCAGCCGCATTCGCAACTGAGGTGGCCGATGGTGAGAGCTTCTTGGCAGTGGCGGTGGTGCAACTGTTGCCGGTGGTGCCGCTGGCGGACTTGAGGGAGGTGCCTGGGTTGCCAGAGGTTGCGGCACCAGCTGCTCCTCCGCCTCCTCCAGTGGCTGTTGTCGTCGAAGTGCTGCCACTGTTGCTGCTGTCGTAGTAGGAATTGCGACGTGTTGCATTGTTGCTGCACGGAAGAAAAATATTATACAAATTGTGTGAATAATTTGGAATTTTCTTGGTCTGATATATTAACATTTAGTGTTATATGTAGGAATACTAATTTATAAATTATATAAATATTAAAAATCGTTTTTTAATTTTTTATAATTCTATGTACACTCAAGAAAACATGACCGAACATCGCATTCAATTTACGAAATGTTCCATCGATTTGACCGCAATAATAATTTTGTTAAAATTAAGAAAGTACGGTTTTCAAAACAGTGTTGACTTTTTTATTAAACAAAAAAAGAATATGTCAATTTGGGTTTTAAAAAAAAAAAAAGTTTTTTCTTTATTTAATATAAATATAAATATTAGACGACCTTAGACGACATCCCAACATAATGTCAATCTGCTTCTAAGAAATCTGTTTATATCTTGATCAATTCTAGGTATATTATTAAATCCTTCTTTATGCCATTCAATACATAACACAACCCCAAGTATTTAAAAAATCTTTTTTAAATATTGAAATATTTTTTTTCTAAGTATCTTTAAGTGCTAGAAAGCATAAGCACTTGTGGTTATTTTAAGGCTGACCAAAACTTACTCATTGGGATTTGTGTTGTTGTACTTGGCCGCCAGGCATCGCATAATGTCCGAATAGTTGCGGGTGGAGAAATCCGTGGCATTCGATGCGGCACCGCCCTCTGTTTTTGCGGCGTTGCTGCTGCCGCTGATGTTGCTGCTGTTGCTGTTGCTGCGATGCTGCTGACTGGCGGCCTGCTGAATGCTATTTAGCAAATTCGTTGACAAATTGTGCAGCGGCATGTGTGTGGCGGATGCTGCTGCTGATGTTGAAGTGGTTGTTGTTGCCGTTGATGGGCCACTGGGCGGACTTAAGCGTTGTTGCTGCTGGGAGTGTTGTTGTTGCTGTTGCTGGCTGGGTGAGACACCACCGCCTCGAAACGATGACGAGGAGGGCGTGGCGCTGCGAGATCTGTGGCAAAGAAAAAAATGTCAAAAAATTAGGATTAGTTATGTTAATGACAACATTTAACAGGTTTTGCATAAGTGGCAGGCTGTGTGACATCAGCGTGATATATTTACTTTATTCAACCTATTCTACCCATCATTTCTCATATATTTGCATTAATAATTAATTATCTAGAGCTTTCATTCAGCGCCCGAATAGGTGTCGCATACAATTGGATTATTTGTCATTCTGCTGGTTCTACGCACAAGTTCTCTTGGCTTATTTGACATGCTAATGAGTGGCTTCCGTGAGATCTTGCTCCTCAAAAAAAAAAATCCCAAGAGTTTCAACCAGGTGCGGCGTCTACGGTCTTCGTCTTGTGAAGGTTTGATTTTTAGTTAAATTCTGTGGAGAAGTGGCAAGGCATTGGTCATAATGCGATTACAAATGCGATGCGGCATGGGAACTCTTTGGCCAGGAGTTTCTTTGCGGAAGGAGTCCAATAACAGGTATCCAGGTGGAAAGCCTGGGAGAGTTCACTCCGTGTTATAATCAAATCTGGTACACAGTTGGATAAGCAGAGCACTTTAAAGTGAAGGCTTTTAGAAAGTACCAAAGTATATGTAACAAACTAATATTCTTCAATATACATATGATATCCCTGAGATATTGATAATATAATATAATCATTTGTTTCTTTCTTTCAAAGCCCGTGTTCCTGGTTATCTGACCATAGTTCTTTTCGTAATTTTCAATCTTGTTTAGCCGATCGCAGAACATTAACCAAACAATTTCATTTTGGATGCTCTCGGATCGAAACGAAACAATTCATGTTAACCAATGTCGAGCATTTGTGGACTACAATCTGGCTGGCATGGCCATAACTCATATGCAACTACCACCGGAGACATGCCACCAACATGGACCATTCGCTGGCCTGCTCCCTCCGCATCCAGCCCTCAATATCCACCCATTAGCCATTCCTAAAGCTCTCCAACACGAGCCAAAGCACGGCAAGGCTGGCTAAAAAGAAAATAATCAGAATAGATTTCTGGCCAGATCGGCAGTGGCAGCGGTCACCTCCTAAACCAAGCCATGCCGCAGCCAGTGGCAGCTGCAAGTGCCTGCCTCTATTTAAGCTTCGCCAAAGCGTTGTGTTGCATGCCACCAGAGGTGCCAGTTTGGCTCTTTTACTCCAAGGTTCGAACATTATAAAAGGTTACAATTTTCAATCTAAAAACTGTACAGTACTAGGTTTCATTAAGATAAAAATTCTTGGGATTTTTTTTTCAAAGAGCAAGACAGTTTTTTTGATTATTTTAATTTATACTTTACCAACACTGGCAAATATTTACATTGTGGGTACAAACACTGATTGGGGTCTCTTTAGCCTCAAATCTATTCCTAGCACAAATTCACTTTACAGAAAGAATATTTGGTAATAATGTGGAAGCTGTACTTATTATGGTTTCAACTCTGTGTTAAATGTTAGGTTGAGTTTTATATATAAAGTACCAGTCTACATTTTCAAATATTATTTCTTATTTTTTAAATAGAGCATTTTTTGTAAGTAAGAAAAATACCAACTTAAATATCCCAACATATCTATACTGTTTATATATTTATAAATGAAAAATCATTTCAACAGGTGCATTTTATTTCTTAATTTTTGGTTGAAAGCTCTATTCATGTAAAGCCACTTAAGTATAAACTTTTTTGTTTTAGCATACTAAATTTATTAACAACAATTTATACATTACTTCTTGTATAATATTTTTAGTAAAAAGTGAGCAGCACTGGTTGCATGCCACATGGCTAGGTGGTTGTGGCATGGCCGGGCCAGAAGAGAGTAACTCGTGCTGCACGTCGTCGTCGCTGGTCGTTGGTCATGTCGTGTCGCTCTTTCGGAGGCTGCGGCACAAATTTATATATAGCAGCTTGCCGCCCAGCCCCCCGCGCCGCCTTACCCCTCCCCCTTCCCCGCCGCTGTACCGCTCCCCGTGTTCCTGTTGTTGTTGCCATTGATTTATCGTGATCTGTTGGTTGTCGATTTTTTTTTGGTTGCTGTTATTTTGTTCGTTTGCCGGTTCGTTGTTGCCTATGCTGCTTACAACTCTGTTGTTCTTTTTTGTCTCGTTTTTTTTGTTGTATCTTTTTTAGTAATTTTTTTTTCGGTTTTGTTAAAAATGTTGATTATTGCAAATTGCTTTGGCGATTGGTAGCAGCTACTTAGTTGTGTTTTGTTGCTTGTTCTTGGCAATTGTTTGAACAGCAACCAGATCAAAAAAAAAAAAGAAAGAAGCCAAGAAAAAATGGTTTATAGTGGCGATTATGTTGGCTACTGCTACAGATCCCCCAGTCCCGACTTTACCCAATCTCGATGTGTGCCTAACGGTTCGGTTGGCTTAGATCTGTAGATCGGTGGCATGCCTAATTGGTTTTTATTATACAACCGGCAACATGTGCCTGCCTCGGTATGCAAATGGTGTCTATTGTTACGCCTACACAAGACCCGATAAGTCCCTAATAAAAATAAATGTATGTGTATACAGTGCGGTTCGAAACTCAAGCACAGTAAACCGGGAAATAAATCCATCGATAGATATTTATATGTCTTACTTGGAATTTCCACCGAATTGTTAAGATCAACCAAAATTCATATCTCACATACTAAAAACTAGACGTAACTAATAATAGAACTAACTAAAATTCGCAGACTAAAAGGCATTTAATGTTTTGAAACCTACTGTCTGAATTTATTTAAATATTTGTGTATATCAATAGGTCCAAATGCGAATTTTTTGACGAAATGTTCCGCAAAGCAAAACAAAGCAAGAGACAAAAGAGCAAGAAAAAATTAGTTTCTTTTTCGGGTTATGCTGATGCATGACATAATACTGCACCCATTTCGACAGGCCTAGAGAAGAGGTTGGACAAAAGGTTTCAGAACCACAATTAGAAATTCCGATCTTAAGTGTTCTAATGCTTTTTCAACAATGGTCAAATATGCGAGGAATCTAATAAATTAAATCGGCATATCTCCCAAAGGTTAAAAAAGCACTGAATGATTTGAACAGAAATCCAATTTTTGTGAATGGAAGCTACGGAAAATCAAGTTATTACAACAAGAGCTATGCTGTGAATCCCAGCTGGGGATTCATTTGATCAGACGAATTCGACAGATGCGAATTCGCATATAATTTGCATAAATTCTTCAATAGTATCAAATTTATTTATGATATAAGCACAGACTTCAAACATGATCTTTGGCCAGCCCTAAATACATTCACACGTCATATCGTATTAAGGCATCTGCAAGTTCCCATAATCAGCGTTCCTAATTTGTGGATAAACAATTATAAATTATGAAAATTATGCGGCTAATCCAATCTTTTAAGTTGACCACCACGAGCGGAATGGGGGAACCCACGGACAGATGCGAATCGAATATGTTAAAACCGAATACCACTCCGCATCCACACCTCAGGTGGCGATAGACTAGCATGTCTCATTAATATTAATAGTGGATAATGGATAGCCGTTCGCCCAAAACATATCGCCCAACTGGTATCAACTAGTATCTTTGTATCTTTGTAACCATCTGTGCCGAGGCCTAAGGCTTGTTTAGGTTTCTCGATTCTTTTTTTGAGCTTGGTAGACATATTGCCTTTATTTATATTAGTTAATATATAATCTTTAACGCCATTAATTTAGTTGAGCGTATTAATTGCTGTTGATTTCGCTTGTCAAATCACATTCTGTCTTTATCTCAGCCGCCGTCTGGGCCTTATTAATTTTTCGTCTTATTTGTATTTACATTTCAAGTTTTTCAAGTTGTTTTTCCTTCCTTTTCTTGGCGGGTTCTTTGTTATTGCCTCTTTTTGACAGCAAAAGCGTGCTCTTGTGTAGCCACATTCGTGTTGGCTGCTTTTTGTTTCTGGGTTTTGATTAATTTACTCTTGGCTGCGAACAGAAGCCGCATCGATTTGGTTTCTTTTAGAGGTATTAATTTATTAAAATGTTAATTAATTTGTCAGGCGTCGACAGGCGTCGAATTCGCTTGATAAATAGTCCCGAAACGAGTTCGCAGTGGAAATCTATCTCCTTTTCTAAATCAACATGGCTGTGATATTTATGTGACATAATATCAAATAATATCTATATCAAGTCCTTAGAATATGTCTGACAAGGATAAAAATGATAAGCCAGAGCAGTTGGATAATTCCAGTCAGGAAGATGAGCTCGAAGCCAATCAGACCCTTTTGGAGCCCAATGCCGAGAGCATCAGTGCATCGCCCTCGATTCTGCGACCCATCAACACTCCAAGGCGAGATGTCTCGAATGCTCCCTCGATTGTCCTTTCGCTGCCAGTTACCGAGATGGACAACGTGCCCGAAGAAACCCCGGAGCAGCGGCAACGAAGACGGATGAGGTTCCTCGAGCTGCGGCGGGAACATTACAACTATATGCATCACAGTGAGCAGTGCAACATGTCGGAAACGGATGATGAAGATCACTCAGCCAATCAACCCAAGACCCAGGAACAGAACAAGCCCCAATAAAAGCCCATTCTACATATACATTTTTGTCGCTATAACCTTATTATAGACATCCGCTAAGAACCAATGGATCAATATTTTTTAATTTTAGAAATACTTAAGTTGGAGAAAACTCTAGGGATTAAAACCACTACACTAAGTGTAAATAAAAAGGAAACAACATAAATATAAAAGAATTTTAGTCTTCCCAGATACAGTGATACCATCCTAATAAATTAGAGCTACGGAGTTATTTCTATATTTTTTTGGATTCTACTTTTTGGTTCTTCTTTATTTCACGCCCTGTGGATTAAGCAATATACGAGTTAAGTAAAGTACATAATATTAAACGAAATGTATTAAAATGTATGTAGGTTTCAACTCTCTTCTTAATTTTCCGCTTTTTTTTAAGATCCTATTAAACTTATAGGCCATTTAAGACTATATGCAGTTAAAGCTGTTCATTTTTTATTAAGTTAAGCTAATCAAGCTAGATAGCTTGTCTCCCATGAGTTGATCTCAGCTGAATCATTTCAAACAGTTCACTTGGGTCACGGCTATAGTAGTTATCTATGATTCAATAGATCAATGATGCAATGGGCAATAACTATACTATATAACTAGTGTTTCCCTGAACTCACCTGGCAAATGAGCTGACGGTGAGTTCGCCGTTGTGGCTGCTGCTGTTGCTCCCTGGACTGAGCCGCTCCCTTTTGACGCTGTGGCCCAGATGCTGCTGCTGCTGCTGTTGTTGCTGACTCGATTGATGGTTGCTAATGCTGTTGCTGTTGCCACTGCTGTTGTTGTTGTTGATGGTGTTGTTGTTGTTGTTATTGTGTATGGTGACCATCGGCGCATCCTTATGATTGTCCATCTGCAGCGGCGACAACTTCTCATGCTTGACCTTTTCCAAATACAGAGCGGCATAGGCAGCAGCCATCGATGCGGTATTTGCATTGGTGGTGCACGCCGTGGTTGCGGTGGAGCAGGACGACGATGAGGAGGAGGAGGCTGAGGAGGCCGGTGCTCCCAGATGGGCGGTGGGCGTGGGCGTGGCGGCCTGACTAGCCGCACCACCTCCAACACCACCCGCTCCACCGGTGGCCGCTTCGCTTAGCTTCTTGGCACTGCTCTCGATGGCCCCATAACCGCTGAGCAGCAGCGATCGCTCACTAAGCATTTTGGCCGTTTCCGCAACGGTGGGGAATCTACAGGGGCTAACCGAGCGACTCCTGATGCTCCCGCTGCTCCTGCTGCACGTGCCCTTTTGACCCAGCTGCCGCTGCAGATCGCTGGCCAGCCGCTCGAGATGCTTCCGCTTGGTGGCTGTCTTGGCGGACGTGGACGTTGTGGCCGCTTGCTGGTCCTCGTGGTTCGCCGGTTGGGCTGCGCTGCGACCGCCCACAATGGCGGTGGTGGCCTTGGCTGGCTTCTGCTGCAGTATGTCGGTGGGTGCGTTACCTGGAATGGGATAGAACAGAGTTCGAGTTAGTAACTATCTTGTAAAACAAAAAACATTTCTACATTGCTACATTTTTAAGAGTCCCACCATTAATTTCCCCATTGATTACCTAATGTATGAAGGTAGTAACTAGCATAACACTTCAGTAGTAACATATTAAAGTTTGAAAATTAAAATAAAATCCTAGCACTAAATCATATATTATAAACGGAATTTAAAGTTCCTAACTAATTAAATTCTGAAACGTGCTCGGAAATAGTAGAGTCCCCTCCCGAATACACTCGCAATGACACGCACCCATAGACTGAGCCAAATACATTGTGGTGTAAAAAAGCTCGAGGCTTGCGTCGCATGCAAATCGGCCAAAGGTTAAAATAACTTATAATATGTTAACAAAACCATTGACCTGCATCGTTGAACCCTTAAGCTAATTATCGGGGTGAGCCAGGGGGCGCGAAGTGCACAGTACGACAGAGTGCGATTCGAACAGTTACAGGGCCCGGAAAAAGACAATCATTAAACAAACAACCAAACAGCAGCAAACCCAGACAGTCGCAACAAAAGCCCACTGAAATAGGGAGTTAGGTGGCACCAACAATCGTACGCATTCTACTTGGAGATAAGGCGACTTTTTAAGGGGTTAAATACGAGAGTTCGAGAAAAAGCTGTAAGTGATCGGAACCAATTTTGTTATGAAAAAATCAGCTTACCGGAAAAAGTAAGCTTTCAAAGATTATGATCACTAGGGACTATATGAGTAATCAAAAACCAATAACACATACGAAAAGCCATACATAAAAGATCAAATATTAAAAAAGATATCGAGAGACAATAAAAATATAACTTTTGTGATTCGGTTTTTACTACGCTCTCACAGTCAGAGCAAATAATTTGTTTTCTTTACCTAGGTATTTATTCCCAACATTTTGATCAGGCAGATAAATAATTTAATTGTAATTTACCTGGCAAAAATTAAAAAGAAAATACGTGTATCAATACGTGCACAAGCATTGACCTTTACCCGTTCGTTGGCCAAATGGAGAAGTTATCGAAACCCTCTCAGCCAGTAGGTGTAAATTGATGGAAGCCAAGCCACGCCAGTCCCCTAGCCATACCCATATACCATATACTCATACCCATTCCTATAACCTATACTCATGGCAACCACTGGTGCCAGATCCATTCGCTCGCATGTTTGGCAGCCAAAGCACACAGCATAAATAATTAAATGAAATATTTACAAGCGAAATTAACAACAATTTGTAGTTTTAAGCTCGTTACGATCCCCACAATCGGAACCCAAATCAAAACAGAACCAGAATCGTGTCTCGGAATTGCATTGGTTTTGGCTTTGGCCAACAGAACGAAAGCTCCCCGCCGACTTGCTTCATATCAAATTTCACCCTTCATTTTGGTGTTCGTAATATGCCCATATATGTGCTGTTTAGTAAGTTGTCCATGCGTTATCATAAAATTAAGTTTATCATTGGTTAGCATAGAAATTAAGTTGCGGGTATATTATAATAAAATTGAAAAAACCAAAATCATCCGCCCTGAAGTGGTTGAACAGTGGAGGGCAAAGGGATTTGGATTAATCAAGTTTTCAATGTAGCGAATTTTACAATATTTTAACAGTATTATTTAGTCGAGAGTTGCCAGAACTTAAATTATTAATAAAGGTTCTTTCTGAAGCAGAAAAAATAGTTCTTCAGTTTAATATAATGCTTTTATGAATGATTTTTTTTTTTATAGAACTAAAGGGTTGAAATCATCCAACATTTCAATTCGAAATAAAATTGTTGTTCCTGATTTAAATGTATTCAATACTTTTTCAAAGAGTAACGTTTTTTTTTATTAACTATTACATTAAATTCCGTAACTTTTCGGATTAAGAAACTTTCGTCCCACTGTGCACTCCAGCGTTTGTCCGCTTCGTTCGGTCAGCGCGATCCCCATAGACCCCCTGATTGGCATCGCTTGGTGCCAATGGTGCTAAGTGCCGAATGTCGAATGGTAAGGATCATTATGACGATGATGATGATGATGAAGATGGAAGGCGGACCCGATACGGGAGTACGAGAAAGGGGGCGGTATGGGGGGGGCAAAAAACCTCGACCCAACATGTGCCATGCGCGACACTGTTGACTTTTTCCAGTTGGACGTTATGTTTTTTCCCCACCGTGCCCATATACCTGGGTATCTGTATCTGAGTATCTATGAGCGATCCGCACGGTGACAGCCGCCTTTCGGTCGTCGTTGGGTCGACAAGTGTCAATAGTACTAATAGACGACGCCGACATCGAAACTTAGGACCGGGCACGTTCGCGTTCACACCATAGAAAGTGGCGGGTGCACAGAGTTCTGGGTAAAGCGGTAAAGTTCATTGCCGTTGGGTGCGACACGTATACGTATACGAATATTCCGGCAAACACAGCTGCCGCCGACCTGTCATGTGACCATTTTTCATACACCAGCGGCAAATAAATAATACGAGTTTGCTATGCTACATTCCATAATTACAATTGCGACAAATTGCGATTGATTTTGTAACCCAAACAGCTGCTTTTGAAGGGTCACATACTCTGACCGTCTAGACCTTGAGAAAAATCCCCAAAATGAAAATAAAAACCCTAACCTCTGACGCAAGCAATCACCGATAATTGATTTCGACCCTCGCATTTAACTTCCATGGGTCCAATTGGGGAGTGCGGCTTATCAGCCGAATTTTATTATTTCTTTTGACCCCATTTGGAAACCAAATAAGCCCCGGGGCCAGCTGACTTTCCCCCACTTGCCCCTTTTGCAAACCCTGCTCTGTTGTTATCGCGCCCCCTGCCCAAAAGAGCCACAGGGTTCAACCTTTGTTCCCGATTTGTTCCGTAAGAAGAGTAAATAAACCCAATATATACGAGTATCAGTAAGTCAAGAAGGTAATACCGAACCACGCTGATAAATAGGGCTCTGTTTCGGGTTGTCGTATCAGGGCAGCGGGAATAAAAGCAATTCGGACTATCTATGGCACAGGGCCCTAACCCGATTTCGGGTAGAGTTCGATTCCGTTTGTCCCCTTCAAGGCTTGCTCTTTTACTTCCCCTCTATTTACTTGTTTGCTTCGTTTTATTCAATTTTTTAAATCTGGTAAATAGAAACATAACAATTAAGTAGTTCAAAAGTCCAATCAGAAAAATTTAAATAGAAACTCACTTATCTTCAGGGTCTTTCCCCAACTCTGTGATGCCAAAAATTCCGTCGATAGAGGCTGGAAAACTTTTCAAAGTTGGGTATTTATATGCAAGCGTGATCATTTTTTCAATCCTTTTCGGGGATAGTCTAAATTTTAAACTATATACATTCAGTACGTACGATTTTCGACTTTTCATTGGATAGTACACTTACACTACTGAAAACTTAACCTTAGCATTCCTACTAGACCGTTTCTATTCGCTCTTTTTTGTCACATTTCTTATAGATAAACATTTATGGTGGCCTATCAGTATCTGTATCTGCATCGCTCCACTCCGCTTCAGTTTCAGCTCGAGTTCAGACAGTTTCAGTTTCCTTTTTACGTGATTTCTTGTATCTCAAGTGTTGTGCTCTGGTCGCGGGGTCTTATCGCCTTGTTTGTCCAAGTGCCAGTTGAACTATATACGTATGTTCGCGATGATGGTGATGATGATGGTGACGACGACGATGATGATGTATGTATTTCTATATAGGGGGCTTAGTACTCTTATATGGCCTTCTCATGGTTCACGATGTTTTCGTCAGCGTGTGTTTCCCCCCTGCCCTCTTTGGTTGTTCTCAATTCTTCGGGTCGTTTTTTGTGGTTTTTGAAAATCATGTCGCATTTATTAGATCATCAAAAGGTGTTAAAGATTGTGGGGCACGTTTCACTGATAATATTTGGCCTGGCCCTTTGTATGGCTTTCTAGAGCTCTAGTTCAATTGTTGTTTGTGAAAGTAATTCAAAGAGATTCATTAATTCATTAGAGATGTCCCATCTAACTGTTTACTGGGCTTGTCCGAAATTCACCCAGCTTGCCTATCGTACACATTTTTTGGTTTGTCATATCTGTTGGACAAATTCCTTATCTTTATGGTAAAGCAATCTCAGGCGGAATTGCAATTTGCCCCAACAATAGCGTGTGGAAATTAACCGGAATACAAATGAAAACAAAAGGCCGAATTTGTTCAGGTTGCGGAATTACCCAAGGTTAAGTGGTGTCAGCTTACAAGTTCATAGGCATGTTGGGATCCCATTAATCTTTTAGGTCCCTGATCTAGGTAAGGGGATATCTTTTCCGACCCCATATTTTTATGATTTCTCCCAACTTGCCACAATTAATTGATTAACCAGTCAGCGCCAAATCGCCAAGTGACAGACCTAGGAATGGCTTAGGAAAGTCCAATAATAAAATACAGAGATAGCGAACTGGAACGGACGCCAACTTAAACCACTGGACAACCGCAAAAAGTAAAGCGCTCTAACGGTTCACGACACTGTTCCCCACAGGTCCACGGCAAATTGAAATTTCAAATCAAATCAGAGCGCGGCGCAAGACGGAAATGGCAAATGATTTTCTTCCAACATTCTGCGACTCCATAACGGACAGCCTAGGAAAAAAAAGTAAAAAAAAAATATAGCCAAGAACCAAAGGAAAAATTTCATAAATTATTAACACCTCTGCCATTTGAACTGGACAAACTGGTACCCGTTCCGAGTGTGTGTGTGAGTGTAAGACGCGCCTCTCTTTGCGCTTCTCATTGAGGTGAGCTGCTGCCTGGCCCATGTCTTCGGACTGCATAATTGCTTTAATGGAATTTGATTTTACCCAACCTCTCAACACGCTCAGCTAGAGACAAGTGTCAGACCTATCGTCCCGAACGGAAGACATAGCTCTCGAGAGGAGATACGTGCGTGATTCACGGGCTATATACCCATATATGGCGGAAGTCTAGGAACGTGATATCCTCATTTGAAAGAATTTACTGCCTTAAA